CTAAACCACCACAAACATGTGGAAGAGGGATATTTGCTTCACATTGAGAAAAGGGCTCCAGCTTGGATATAGAATCAACAAGTATGCCACATACTTCTTTCAAGTGGAAAAGAATCAATAATCTTTCTCACAATGTTATGGGGTAAGCGATTTATATCTCAACTAATGATGACTAATGTCTAGTCTATTTGAAAATGTTTTAAATATGAAAAGCCAAAGTGGCAAAAGGTTTAAATTGAAGTTTGTGCTTTTTAGTCTTTGTAAAAGAGTTTGAATATGCTTAAGATGTCTTGAAGCATTTTTTAAGGAAAGAGTTTTGAAAAGATCAATGGCCTAAATTCAAGGTTTTTATTGAAAGTGGTTTTGTGTTGTGAAAGAGAGGAAACCCTAGTTTGAGTTGTCTAAGTTGAATATAATTCAAAGGGAAACTTCCTAAGGGATAACAAGTTATGGTATTACAAAGGAGATATATGTACAAGAATATAAGGATGCAAATGCAAATGACAAAGATGTCAACAACAAGCCCCGCCCTTGGATTTTAGGCAAACATGAATGATCACATAAACATGCATAGATTGAACAAAACATTAACATGATTTTTAGGCATGAAACATGGTGAACATAAACAAGACATGACAAAGGTTTACATAACATCACAAGAAACAATTCATGAACAAATATAAGTTAAGAGCCATGCTTAACATTGTAGAAATTTATGAAGGGAATACTTGAAAACATGATGGACATCACAAAATTAAAAGACATAGATCAAAAGCACACAAGTGTGAACAAGCATCAATCATGAAAGACAGGGACCATAATGGACATGGTGAACACAATCACTTAGTCTTAAAAGGAATCAATATATGCACAAGTCAAGGAAGAGAAGCAAGAGCATGTTGAACACAAGATCAATCCTAAACCATAGGAGATACAAACATACTTAAAAACTTGTGAAGATGTTAACAATTTTACATGTTTAATCAACATGAACAAAACAAACACAACATTGAAACATGGTATAAGACATGATATGAGCACACAAACATTCATGATTAATTAGGTCAAAGAAACAAACTAAAAAAAAAGCATTACAAAGTCCTAAAAATCACATAAGAGGACAAGTTTTAAACCTAATAAAAATGGGTAAAATAAAAATTATTTTTGGTATTTTTTAGGAATTCATAAAATATATATGATAAATTGCAAGTGTGCAAAAAATCAGCTCAAAAGGATGAAAGGAGCATGAGATATGGTTGAAAGAAAATGTGAAGATAACATGAAATAACTAAGTGATAAAAAAGAAAGGCCTTGCTGCCTAAGGGGCTTGAACCCACGCACCCTTGCCTACCACTTAAAACTTTACCACTGGGGCATGTGCATCAAGTTAAGAACAACATGCACGTATGCTATAATATATTAAGATAAAGTTGAAAACATGCAAAAAATAAAATATAAAAGGTCTAGGGCGAGGGGGATTCAAACCCCAGACCTTGAGCTCACACACAAACACAAACCAAGCACAATGACTAACACGGCGCAATGCCAATTCAAGATACTAAATGGAATCATGAAATTGAATAATAAAACAAGTTCAAAAATATGAAAACACGCGTCATCATTACTTATTCCCTCGTCCACCATTTTCAAATTTCTGGAAATTCTAACTCTCTCATCTCTTGATGAAACCACATGGTATAAACATGAAAGTTGTTTGGTTTTTCACAAGGAACATGATGATGCCACTTAATTTCCTTAATTCTAAACACATAATAAACTATCAATCCAACATCAGCATGAACCCTAACATGAAAATCTAAAATGAAATCACATATAGAAATGATCAAGACCGATTGTCGCTACTCGAAAAAATGCATCGTGCAACGACGAGGAGGCGAAAAAAGGTAGACAGAAGAGTCGCCACCGAACTTTATTTATCCCATGAGGGGAAAGGAAAATATCGAGAAAACCTTAAGAAAAGAATGGATAAGATGGTCTCGCGACCAAGAACGGGTTCGGAAGCCGGTTATGCGAGGGGAAGGTATTAGCACCCCTCGCATCCATCGTACTCGATGGGAACCTTTTGTTTGTCGATGCGTGAATTTATATTTGCTAAAACATTATGCTATAAGAAGTGTTCCACAGGGTAAAAGAAGGGTTAGAAACAGGAAAGGGAGGAAACGGGGGGAAGATGAGAAAGGACGGACTCGGTAGGACTTCGCGGTCCTAGGCCTACGTATTCTCAATAGGTATGAGAAAGTCAGAGTCGACGTAGTTCGGGAAACTACGAGTGATAAGGGGAATGTGCTCGCCAAGGATTGTGGCCCTTGTGCCTACGTATCCTCATCTGGTATGAGAAATCAGAGCAGCCGTAGTTCGGCCTACGGTGTGTTGATGTTTTTTATGGATGATACTATCGTGCGCATTCTAGCAGTTAGGTGCTTCGCTGCTCGCTCGTTGGAGACTTAGGCGTTACCTGTTTGCGGTAGAACGGACGTAACATATCCTTTTGAAAGATTGATTAGTTTTCGCCACGCGGGGCTAGAAGTCACATTTGATTGATTGGAATGTTTTTTAGGGGGCGAGACAGGTCCTCAGATAGTAACCCCTACGGGTAGTACCCAATTCGATATCTCAAACTTTTTGTTATAAAAGGTGTGGCGAACGAGGCGTCTTTGTATTGAAAGACGAGCGTCGAAACCACCCTCACTACAGTGGGCATCCCTACGCTCGGAGAAGAAGAGGTCTACACCTAATCCTCTCTTTTTAATTCAATACAAAGAATAATTAGTTTATTATGGAAAGTATACTCAGTACGAGACCGAAGTTTTATGAGGAAACGTTGGAAGCGCCTTTGTATTGAAAGACGAGTATCGAGACCACCCTCACTACAGTGGGCATCCCAACATTCGGAGAGGAAGAGGTCTACACCTAATCCTCTCTTTTTAATTCAATACAAAGAATAATTAGTTTATTATGGAAAGTATACTCAGTACGAGACCGAAGTTTTATGAGGAAACGTTGGAAGCGTCTTTGTATTGACAGACGAGCATCGAGACCACCCTCACTACAGTGGGCATCCCTATGCTCGAAGAAGAAGAGGTCTACACCCAATCCTCTCTTTTAATTCAACACAAAGAAATGATTTTAAGGAGATGAGATTTGAAAATGGACGGGAAGCGTCTTTGTATTGAAAGACGAGTGTCGGAACCACCCTCACTACAGTGGGTATCCCAACACTCGGAGAGGAAGAAAGTCTACACTTAATCCCCTCTTTTTAATTCAATACAAAAATAATTTGATTTTGAAAATTGTTTGACAAAGTTTTTTGAATCGAATTGGGACAAATAATGAAGAGAGAAAAGGGGTGGTCTCAGATCCAACATTACCTATCAATAATTTGACTGGTAATGAATTACGGAGGTCTCGTCATCGACCCCAAAAATGGAACAAAATGTCCAATAACAAATGAGAAATAAAATTAACTTCTAAAGAGAAAATAAATCTCGAAACTTAAATATAAAATAGTTCTAAAGAAACTAACAAAAATATAATATAAAAAAGATATATATGAACTTTAAAATTAATAAGAAAAAATATATAGAAAACTTAATATGAAAAGTATATATTATAAAACTAATAATAATAATTTACATATGTAATAAAGAAAATAAAATATAAAAATGAACAGGGGAGGGGGTATGAATTGAAATGGAGGGTTAGCATGCAAGGAATCACGGTGGGCCTATAACCCACTCAATCCATCATCTGGCAGTGAATAAACCAAAGCCAATAGAAAACTCAAGCCGTGAAAAAGCGACCAAAAATAAATCTGTCATTTGTCAACACCCAGAAGATCACCTGTTTATCGATTTAACGGAAGAAAGAAAAAATGGCGTGAGTCCAAGATCGAGAAATGAAGATGAGACGATTAAGTCCTAAAAATTTCCTCGCTTCGGTTTCACGTTCGGCTCCAACTGTTTCAAAAAGTTTCATCTCAGGTTCTCATTTCTTCGAAGCCTCTCTTCATCTCGAATTCTATGGTTTCCTGGGTTTCGAGGTTTGAGCAATGAAGAGTTGAATAGGGGTTGGTTTGGGTCAGGTTTGAAGGTTGAAGATGGTTATTAATGGAGGAACTGGGTTTGTTGAAGGTGATGCGAAGGGGTGGGAGCTTCCGTCGGCGATTACGAGCGAGACGCGGTGGATTTCAAAATACGAAAATAAAGAGTGGTGGAAAATGATATGGGTTTTGTTGTTCCGGGTTTGTTGTTGGTCGAAGAGATTTCAGAGCTTTTGTCGTTCGTTAATAGAGACGGTGAAGGGGTTAGAATGTTTCTGCGTTTTGATTGTGTATCGCTGGCTGGTTTTTTAAGGTTATTTGGTTTTGATTTCACGGTGATGGTGTTTAGAGCTTTGTTTCAGAGAAAGCTCATCGACGGTGGTGTAAGGGTTTGAATATGGAGGCTGGAGTTTGATAATGGAAAATGAAGATTAAAGGAGAAACTTCAAGTTTGAATGTTTGCTGAAGGTGGAAGAAGAACCAGAGAGGAGAGTTGAAGATTGAAGGGTCGTTTTGTGGTGGTTTAAAGGTTGATTGAAAGGGATTTTTGTTATTGTTGAAGAAGAGGAAGAGTGAAGTTTAAAGAACAGAGAGGGATTTTGTGAGATTTGAAATGAGAACTCCAGATGTTGAGGGTGTTGCTGGGAGGTTTTGAAAGATGACGGCTAAGGTGTTTTTGAAGCTCAATCTCAGATTAGGGTTTTTTGAAGGTGGGCAGCTGGGTTGTTTTTCTGGAGAAGGTGAGACTTGGAGGTGGGCGGCTAGGGTTGAGAGAGCTCTCCCAGATTAGGTTGTGATTTTCGATTTTAAGGAGGTTTTTGAAGTAAGTTCCAAATCCCTTTCTCTTTCTCTTTAATTTTCTTGCCTTTTTGATGTATCCTGGCTGTTGTTGTTGCAGGTGTGTACAGGCTAGCAGGTTTTGTCCTGTTGTGGATGTGGTTCAGCAGGGTAATTGTTGGGTTGGCTGCTTTGTTTTGCAGGCTGTTGTGTGTAACAGGTTTGCAGCAGGGTATTGTCGGTACAGTTTTAAATGCAGTCCGGTGTGCATAATGGTTTGCGATATTTGTTGCGGCAGAAAATTGGCGTGGGTTGTTATCCTTTCTTTTTCCTCTACTCCTATTATGTGTTCCTCATTCAAAGTCTCTAGTTTCTTGATAACGTCTTTCGAAGAATATGGTAGGTCTCCATGAAACATCACAATCGATGCACCTGAACCAACATCCACAGCAAGACTAACTCTATCATTTTTACCAAACTTCTTATATAGAAAACAACCCCAGAAGCACATAAGTGCCACCAAAAGTAGTGCGCCCACAGTTGCTGATGTACTGATGAGAAGTCGGCCAGAATATTTCTTCTTTACATTTTGATTTTGGTCTGAAGATTTTTCCCCAGGCGAACCATCATCTTTACATGTTGAATCAATTTGTACTCCACACAAACCTCGGTTTCCAACAAACGAGCTTTCTGTAAAGTGGGCTAGGACACCATCAGAAGGTATTGGTCCGACCAGAAAATTGGTTGATACATTGAACTTTTTTAGATTATATAACTTTGCAATTGATACTGGAATATTCCCTCCAAGGGAATTGCTTGATATATCCAAATTTTGGAGCTGCGAGAGATTTCCTATTTCACTTGGAATTATTCCACTAAGGTAATTACCCTGTAAGAAGATTCCCTGCAATTCCGTGCAATTTCCCAATTCTGGTGGAATTATCCCATAAAGGTTGTTGTTATGAAGAGCAAGAACTTTCAGGTGATCTAACTTTCCAAGGTCAGGTGATAAAGACCCACTTAACTTATGGTGTGATAGAATCAGATGCGTCACTCTCTTGGTTTTTGGATCACATTTCACTCCTTTCCATTTACATGGGTCAGGATCCTCAGGCCTCCACTGTAACAGGATACCATCAGAACTAATAATTGTTGTCCTGAAGCTGACAAGTGCCTCGCCATCAGGACTGATCGCTTCAATGTTATTAATTACAATTACAATATGTATCAGCAAAACATACAGAAGCCACAGCCATTGGCCTTTTAACAGACAAATGCCCATAGCAACAGTGTTGAAGAATAGTAGAGCTAGTGAAATTCATCAGAGACAAAGGTGTTTGAAATGTCTCTCTCCACCATGTAGTTATCTGGTCGGTATATACATCAGCAGTGCAGATGATCGTAGACACTGCCTTGATTTCGATCTGAGATTCGAGAAAGTGAAAGAGAAATGCAAGTTGGAGTGGCCTTTTGCCCAAACGGTAGCAGGTCCGAGTTTTGGGGTGGCAACAGTTGTTGGTACGAGTTCTGTTGTGGGTTTTGCGTAGATGAGGGGTTTGAAGATTTCTAGTGAGTTGGTTCGATGCAGAAGGCCATTGAGGTAATGAGGGAGGAAGTTTTATTGAGTTTCTTCTTTTACTGCATAATAAGGAGGCATCTGTTGCAGGTTGAATTCGGTTTATGCCACTGCATTGCGGTAATGTGCCGTTGTGGGGAGGCTATTGTTAAAGGCTTGTAGCAACCGCGGATATAAGTCGATGCGGATTAGGGAGAAATGAAGGCAACTTAACGATGAAGACCTTCGAAAGTTTTGAAAGAAATCCCGAACAGATTCAAAATTTAACAGATTTTACTCTTTTGACACAACTTGTAATACTAACTTCAAGTATTGAATTTGAATGTATTTTTTTCTCTTTGTAAACTCAAACTTGTATATTATTTGTAATCAATGATTTTCTATACAAAAACTATTCAACAAAAGTTCATAATAGAATTTGGACTAAGTCCTGAGGCAAACTATCCAAGGCCTGGTCATGTTTCAGCGTGACATTATGACATCATTTCGGCTTAAAGTCCTTGGAATCAATACAAAGGAGAAAAACATATGACTGTATCTTTAAGATATCTCTAAATCTTCAAAACCACCTTAAGTATGTCTTAAAGATAATCATATCCTAAACTTCGCAAAGCCACCAATTATAATTAGATATTTTGATGCAAGATTTGAGTTTGTTTATTTTTCAATTCAAATTGAACCCCCTTGTTGGAACACAAATTGATGGCCTCTTGGGAATCATCTGTTATCGGCCAGAATTTCCACGTGAGCTCACAAATACACTTTAAGATATAAACACCCTCATTGATAAAATCGCTCCTGGAAGCACGTCTAAGAACCGTGGTTTTGTAAACAAACTAAACACTCCTTTAAACACATACTAATCATGCCATGAGCCCTCTGAAGCGAATTTCAATATAATCTTGTATCATGACTTCAACTTGAAATTAAGTCATGCCTTAGAATTGAATGCACAGAAAAGTTTCAAATCCACATAATCACTTGGTATAAGGAAATCTCAAAGGTAGGACAAATTGGGGTATGACATGCAATGTGATATGCTAATGCAATGAAATGAAACATAAACCAAATGGAGAAAAGGTAGGGCAAATTTTAGGGTGCAACAGCTGCCCCTATTCAAGCGACTTGAACCTGAAGGGATGAAAAGCGAACGACTTTCGAACATTCAAGGTAAAAGACGGTTGAATACCAAAGAACCCGGAAATTTGCCAAAAACAGAACTGCAAACTCTGATAAGATAAAATCTCCAGAGATAACCGAATTGATAGCCTGATAAGGGACATCTGACTTCGCCGTCAGAAAAACACAAACATCCAATGAACATCTGATATCGCCGCCAGACCTCTGTAGGGGATAATAATTCTGACATCGCCGCCATGCATCCACAAATTTGATAACAACATCTGACATCGCCGCCAGGCCTCGACATCAAGTCGGTAAAGAGATCTAACTTCGCCGTCAATCCTCAAACAATCTGACTTCGCCGTCAACTCTCAAAAATGATCTGACTTCGCCGTCAGCTCTCAAAAATATCCTGATTTCGCCATCAGTTCTGAATATCATCTGACTTCGCCGTCAGTCCTCAAAAATAATCTGACTTCGCCGTCAGCTCTCAACGTCATCTGACTTCGCCGTCAGTTCTTAACACAATCATTGCTTAAGAGTACAATTACTTTTGACATCGCTGTTGAATAACACAATAACTCTTGACATCGCCGCCAATACCAACATTCAACATCGCCGCTGAAAACCAAATCACTTGACATCGCCGTCAAGACAAACATCCAACATCGCCGCTGAAGGATACAATCACTTTTGACATCGCCGTCAAAACAAACTTCTCAACATTGCTGTTGAAGAACCAAATCACTTGACATCGCCGTCAAAACAAACTTCTCAACATCGCCGTTGAAGAACCAAATCACTTGACCTCGCCGTCAAAAACAAACTTCTCAACATCGCCGTTGAAGAATCAAATCACTTGACATCGCCGTCAAAACAAACTTCTCAACATCGCCGTTGAAGAACCAAATCACTTGACCTCGCCGTCAAAAACAAACTTCTCAACATCGCCGTTGAAGAATCAAATCACTTGACATCGCCGTCAAAACAAACTTCTCAACATCGCCGTTGAATAATCAAATCACTTGACCTCGCCGTCAAAACAAACTTCTCAACATCGCCGTTGAATAATCAAATCACTTGACCTCGCCGTCAAAAACAAACTTCTCAACATCGCCGTTGAATAATCAAATCACTTGACCTCGCCGTCAAAAACAAACTCCTCAACATCGCCGTTGAATAATCAAATCACTTGACCTCGCTGTCAAAAACAAATATCCAACCTCGCCGCTGAACAAACAAATCACTCTGACATCGCCGCCAGAAACAAACATCCAACATCGCCGTTGGAGAAACAAATCACTCTGACATCGCCGCCAGAAACAAACTTCTTACTCCGACATCGCCGCCAGAAACAAACATCCAACCTCGCCGCTGAATAAATGAATTACTCTGACATCGCCGCCAGAAACAAACATCCAACCTCGCCGCTGAATAAACAAATTAAAACAAACTTCTCAACATCGCCGTTGAAGAATTAAATCATCTGACATCGCCGTCAAAACTAAATTATCTGACATCGCCGTCAAAACTAACTTCTCAACATCGCCGTTGAAGAATCAAATTACTTGACATCGCCGTCAAAATAAACATTCAGCATTACCGCATCCTTTGGTGATAACTACAAAAGAAATCCGCTGGGGAGACAGCATGAGCTGGGGTCTAGCCAACACACGGGCGAAGATACTAGTCATCTGCGGGACTTACTTGAAACAGAAGGGTAACGACTCAGCTTATGTTTCGCATGCATATGTTTGGATATGACGAAATGCTCCATACGAAATGGGAATGCTTCGCATTCGGGTAGATGCTATGCATGTATGTAGATGCAAATGAACCACTTTAGCAAAATAAATGCTAAAGAGAAAGAGCCAACTCCGTTGAGTCAGAGCTAGATACGCCTAGCGCAAATAAACTCATGCTGGGGAATGCAAGCCGTGGATGGCCTCCGAGAAAACTTCTGGGTAAAACTGCTCCGTTAAGAACAAAACCACTCCGCTGGGGATCCAAATCAAACTCTGCTGCGGAGAACGTCCCGGATGGCCTATCAGCCTACAACTCTTCTGGGGATCAAGCAACTTGGCTGGAGGCAACAACTCCACTCTACCGGGGAAATCGGCTATGAATGATTAGCCAGAATAACCCTACTGGGGAAACATAGCAGATTGCTGAGGAATAACTCTCTTCTGTCGGAGATTGAATCCGCTATCTGCTAGGGATGTTGAATAAGACTTACTGGGAATTTATCCCACACTTTCTCTGCTGGGGAAAATGATAAGTAAACTCAACAAATACGACTTCCGCTTGAGGAATGAGTCAATGACCTAGACTCTGAGGGGAAAGAAGTCAACCATTTAGACTCTGTGGGGATAACAGTACTGTGCTCGCCCTACTGCTGGGAAAATAAACCCAAATCTGCTTCTATAACTCTGATAAGCTCTGAAGATATGGAGAGGAACGCATCTCCTTTGTTTCCAATTTTGCCCCAGCCTGTGGAACCTGATGGTTAGATATGAATTGCCTCAGCGCTTCGAACCCCGAAGAGGTACTTCAAGTCAATTTCCTTTCTGGGTAAGGATAGTTGTCGTGCTCCTGGGGTGGCCTGCCCCAGCTTTGAAGTGATTTGCCCCTGATTGGCTGATTTGGAGAAGTGCCTTTGACTTCGAGAGATTTACCTAATCTCGACCTGATTGCCCCAAATTAACGGACCTTAGGGAATGGCGCCTTCGACTGGCCTTCGAGTGGTTTGATGAATCTCAACCTGATTGCCCCAGATTAACTGCATCTAGGAATGACCGACTCTGCTTACGTTTACCTGACATGACTTGCCTCTGCTCGAAGGAGTACTCGGACGCTTTATATCTTATTTCTATCGAACTTTGCATTGTAGAAACTTTCCTGATGTCAAATGTTTTCTCGCAAGTAAAACAAATTGTTTTGCAAAAGATAATATTAATGCAATGCATATGACAGTTTTGAAATCCAAGTCTGGTCACTGGAAAAAATGTGGCATTTAGTGAACGAATCACTTATCAGAAATATCAATATCCATACCCATAGGGTAAGAAAAATCCTTTTTAGGAGTCAGTTTCGACGCGGTCTTTACCGAAGTATGCTTTCAAAACAAACCTGCTTCAATTAGGACTTTTGAAGGTTGTAACTTGGTCAGGTTCACGGTTGGAAAGAAAGGATATGAGGCTCAAAGTTCTGTTTAACCCACCCACTCTCCTTAATATTCTCCAATCCTATGTTCAGATAATTCGACACAAACATTCACCTCTCAAAGGTTGAATGACTGGAGTGATGGTTCGGGAAACCACAAGTTTTTCTGGAGTGACAGTCACTCGCTTTTCGTCTTTGGTGCCTGGAGTCACACGACTTGTTTTCCGTCATTTCATTCCCTATTTTTCCTGGACTGACTCTTTTGAGTATATCATTGATTTCAAAGTCCATCGGGATGCCCTAATTTTTGCCTAAGCCACTTGTCTTCAAGTTATCGACTTAGCGGGCTTTTTCTTTTCTTTTCTTTTCTTCTTTTGATTCTTTTTTTTTGAACAAATCGTATGACACCGGCTTGTCTGACT